TAAATACCTTCTTTTCTTTTGAAAAGTCACATCCACTTCTCAAAATACACTGTTTTTGTTTTATCCAGATGTCTCTCATATAGCACTCCCTAATAAAAACTAGCATAGTTTTTACGAAAAGATTTCAGGAAAGATTTCAAGAGGCATTTATAATAAAAATGCTATGTGAATCCATTCTAATAAATCTAGTTGCTCTGTGAAACTGTAGAATACTCTGTTTAAATCAAATCAATCAGTGTCAAAAACTGTAAATTCAAAAACTGCAGAATCAAATACTGCATACCTCCTTTTCCAGACACTGAAGCAGGTTCCCAGGCTCAACTGGTTTTTCAAGTATAAATATGTTCAGCAGCTTAGGTCTGCTATATTAACATCTCTACAAATTCCATTACTATTTTTCATAGCAATTTTTCAGTTCATGTTGTACATAAGATAACTGATGTTTGTGTGAGGAAATCAATCAAGCACTTGTTGTGGGTTCCCTCCATTAATATAAATGAGACATCTGTGTGCTGACCTTAGATAGTTTGGGTTAAGTCTTTCTTTTATCAAAGAATGGGACACCAAAGGAAAATGGAAACATTGTACATCATAGGTTACCATCAACATAGCCACTCGCACTGACTTACAATTTTCAAGAAACTCAGGGGTTACATTCCGTGCATAGTTACAAGCGAAAGTTTAGTTCCAAGGTGCACAACACATTCCAATGTAAGACCCTTACAGACTCTCAAGCATTTCTGTTTCACACTTACTGCTTATTCAGGTATAAGGTACAGCAGAAGAAATAATGCAGTGTCTTTTCTGCATGTATCCACATGTAATAAAGAAGTAAAATTTGGAGTTAAACTGTTCATTTTCCTGGGAGTAGTCTAAATACCGTAACATTCTTATATTTGCATAAAATGACCTAGGCAACTACATAGGAAGCAGCAATGTCCTCAAACAAATACAATGCTAGCTCAAACATTCTTCATTGGCTGGCCACATGCCTTCAACAAAAAGATTTATTAAATTCCCAAACAGAAAACACAGAGTCATGTTCTCTAAATTACTTTTGCTTGTATTACTTTTTTTACTGACAAAAGCAAGCTGTTTGACTTGTTTTTTTTAAAAAACAGTACTATTCCAAATTATGTCAGTATAATGGCCCTAAACTGTACCACACATGAGGTTTATAAATACAGTTTTAAAAACATATTTGAAGATCTATCCAATATGATCCTATATTATCATTAAAGTGGAAATCGGGAGTTTGAAGGACAGCAGTACGTCCCTCCTCAATACATCAGTAGTTTCGAATCCTAACACCAGCCAATACTACTGAAATTAGCAGTATTTAAACCCAAAATGGTGCATCCAGCATTTCTTTTTCACCTTCTTCCAATGCAAGGAGCATTCTACTTGTAAGAGAGACCTGAACTGGTGCAACACACATCTTATGCTAGGGGAACAATCCCCATATGTTCATGAGTTCACTATCCTTACCCCTCTTCCTTAGCAATAACAGTCAGTGCAATCTCACAATATATGCTAATCTCATTCAGCCTTTACATCTGTGTTCTCACCAATCCCACAGAGGCCATACATCCTCTTTATTTTATTTTATTTCTTATTTGGAATAATGGATTAGAATAGTAGATTCTAATGTAACATAATGAATAGTAGAATGTAATGTAATTTGGAATGGTAGATTGGAATGTATTTCTCTGGTCTGGGGGCACGGGAGATAACTACACAGCCAATTGCCCCACTTCAAAGAAGATGCTGTAAGGTTGCCTCCATGCTTGAAAGGAGATGGATGGAGCATAATGGCAGGGTCTCAGTTTATTACTCTTAGCATTCCACAATTAAGGATACATCTGCCCATCAATCTCCAATTCAGACATATTTCTTTCCTTCACTATGCCCCCCCCAATCAAACCCAAACAAATGGTAACCATATAAACTAAGCTTGTTATTCCTGTTTGGTCCTTGAATCTGTTAGACATCTTCATTATCCTGTATGATAATTTACTGCTCACCGTCTACCTATATGTATAGGCTGGTAATTTCCATTTCATTGTATCTGAAGAAGTATGCATGCACATGAAAGCTTATACCTTGAATAAAACTTTGTTGGTATTAAAGGTGCCACTGGACTCAAACTTTGGCTTTGTTACTAGTGTTACTTCCCTTAGCTTATAGTAGTAAGTTTTTGGCTCTTACTTGCAACAATTATTATGGACTATTTTTGTATTCATCTGCACAGGGCCAGAAAAATTACATTTCAGACATTCCTGTATTATAGAATCAGTTCCTTGAGTTTTATACAATAAAAGCATTGTATCCCACAAAATTAATTTGCAGGTATCTAAATGATTATGTTCTTTGTTGGATATATAAGTAATGGATAGTAAATAAATAAAAAGCTACAATTGTAACCATTGTAACAAAAGAAGTTTGACATTTTGTTCCGCCATCACCTATAGATATATAGCTGAATGAACCACAGCTGTGGTCACACACACTAAATAATCCACTTTCAGTCCACTTTCCAACTGGATTTTGCCAGTTCACACCATAAAAACCCAGTGGATTATTTAGTGTGTGTGACTGCATTAGGAATGGAAGTAGTTTTGAAGTTAAGGTCCAATACATTCAGTGAAATCCTCCCACTGACTTCAACATGAATTAGCCCTTAAACTAAAAACATACCGTAGTTTTTTTGCTGGAACCACAGGCATATATTCAATATGGTGAAGTGGTTCAAATATTTGCTGAGCTTTCACCCCCAGGATGAAAGATCCTGGGGAAACTATTCTTTGCCCAGGGAGAACAAGCGTTAACTATCTGAGCAATTCTGTATAGTTCCACTGAGATAAATGTAAATACTTTGGTAAATGGAAACCCAAGGCTCAGCTGTGAAGGAATATTATCATTGCTTATCAAGTCACATCTACCAGCTAACTGAAGTCCCCCCCTCTAAGAAAGAACTGCGCGAAGAGGCAGCACATCTGCCACAAGTTCCTACAACTCTTAGAAGCATTCTGACTGTTCTAACCTGCAGAGGCTGCCGGAGCCCCATCCTTACATGAAGTCCAAAAAAGAAAGAACAAAGTTTGAGTCCATTGGCACCTTTTAGGTATACCCTCCCGTGGTTTTAAAGGTGCCACTGGACACACACTTTTGTTCTGCCGCTTTAGACCAACACGGCTACCCACCATAATAATAATAATAATAATAAAACCACACAGGAGAATTTAATAGCTGCCAGTTCTATATTCCTATTAGAATAGTATGGATTGTCAAGAACTATTGACAACAAATTTGGCCAAACATATCAAAACAATGTCCAGTCATTCAGTATAACAGCTTTAACAGCAATACTTTCATAGTTTAACAAATGACTATTTCAGTATATTTACCTAGTGGACATACAGAATGACTAGGAAATGCATAAGACGGATGTGTGAACCTAACCTGAATTACCACCAGTTGTAAAGATAGCCCAAGAGGAAATGGAACATAATTTCATCAAAAGCAGATAAATACTTAAAGAAATCAATCTGGAAACTTTCATCTACATTCATTACACAAAATCTGTAGCAAAAGGATTTTAAGTGTATTTAATATCTATGCTTGTAAGAACATTTTAATTGCTTTACAGTTTTCTTGTTTGTGTTGCTACATAACTACAACCAATCTAACTTTTTGCCTTGCAGTTTGAAATGGGCTGATCACAGATTTAAAATATCTTGTTAGCATAATTTGAATTGAAATATTATTATAAACTATTGCCCCAAATATAAGAAATACTATGAAAGATTCTCTATGCCTAAGAAAAATATCCATATTTTTCTTTCTAGGTCACCAAAGAAACTGTATAAGAATCCACATAAAGGTACCTATTTTTAATGCTTAGTCTGCACATTATTGGCATTCTGCAGAAATAACTTAATCTCCAAAAATTTATTCAGTTAATGAGACTTTAACTCATGGTAATATAAATGAGGAGCAAATATAGAATACATCAAAAGCACATGCATCAAATGGAAAATACCCAGCTGAAAATAAACATATCAAGAGAGAACCATGTTTCAATATAGTCAGTAACCCCCTAGTGACTAATCTTTGAATTCATTAAACCAGACAATACAATCATTCCCAAAACTCAAATCTATGATATGTATATATTGGCAAAGAATCAGCATTTCAACAGGTAAACCAGCATTTAAACAAGTAAACATTAATTTTCAATTCTGAATTATGTCATACGATTAAAATATAAATGATTCAAACAAGCTGTGATGAATGTTAAAATAAACCTAGATAGCTGTGGATTTTTTTCACTTTAGAAAAACAGGTACATAATGTTCCCCCTGACAATCCAGTAATTTAGCTGCTGTAAATACAATGAAGAGATAAGAATATTAGTATTTGTTTGATTAAGTACCAGTTTCTACTGCCTGTCTCACATTTTCTCTGAAAAGTCCAGCTCATGGATTTGCTCAGACTTACAACAGTCAATTGATTATCTTCCCTTGTTTAGGACAATAATTTCCTCTACTGCCAACCCATTTGCACTTGACCTTTGACATGCTCAGAAAGGGATATGATTAGCACTGTTCACATTTCTATCAGCAAGTTACAATTAGTTATTTCCAGCTAACACAACAGAATTAAGTGGAGTGTGAATAAACAAAATGGGTTTGCTGAAACATGTGTAAACTGCCCTTTTCATGGAATCCTGAATAAATGTGATCATAAGGAAACATCACAACCATTTTTAAAGGTGAATACATTGCCAAAAATGTGAAATGATGATAATAAAAAACTATACAGTAATCAATTGCACACCACTATAGTTTGCCATCCACTTCTATATAACCAGGCTGCTTTGACAGTAAAAACTGAAAGACTAAACAGTCTGTTAAATGAGACAGAGACTTTTTTTGGAGAGGAAGAAAAGGAAGAAAAACAAACCCAAGATTTTGAACTATAAGGTTGTGATTTGATACCTTGCTCTGTACTTCCACTCCTGACAGGGACTTGTGGAAGCTGCCTTCCCCTACGACTGCTGAAGGGTGTGTCTGCTGAAGAGGACTGCACAGGACTTCCTGGCTGATGCATTCTGCAGGCAGAATTAAGATTAAATAGAATGATGTAATATGGCCATGTACTCTTAATATCTTGTCCAAAAGGGCTTAATTTTGTCATGCTTTAAGTGTGTACAACTTAGAAGCCATTTTTGAGTAGTTTCTTTCAATAAGCCACTAGGCTGTGGGGGGAAAAGCCACTCAATTAATCATTGATTAGTAGTAAGTAAAATAATCAACACCAGTCTAAATTTGGAATAATTCTTTTGAATGCCTTTGATTTTCAAAAAACTATGGTTAACAGTGGTTTGATACAATCAAGCATAATATAAAAAACAAGCCATCTCTACTATATATCCACATAATACTGGTGTTAATGCTTTTTCTTAGTGCATTTCAGTGGAAAACTGAATACCCAAGACTACAGGTGTACATTGTTTTCTCACTAGCAGTACTTACAAAGTTCTAGAAACAGAGAGGAATTTCAGACATATGATATAATCTGGAAGAGGAACGGTTCCCAAATGGTTTCTGGTCTTTCATTTCAGACAGAACCGTTTTAGAACTGGTTCCCTACCAGAATATATTTGTAATTTCACACACAAACGCTTCTGTCCCATTTAGGAAACGGGGCTGAAGCGTTTTACCTGTCAACCACTTCCAAGTAGTCTTCAGTTTCCTCTCCCAGTTCCGATGTGCTTTTCCCCGCCGTTTTTCGCCGGTGCAGGCGATCTCCGGCTTTTTGTGTGTGTGTGGAACATTTGCTTTATAGCACTATAGTGCTATAACACTATAACACAACAGCATTATATCAACCCCATTGGAATGCCCAGAGTGTTGTGTTATAGCACCATAGTGCCATAGCGCTATAGTGCTATAAAGCGAACATTAAAAAAAAGCCAGAGATCGCCCACACGGGCAAAAAACGGCAGGGGAAAAGCGGTGCAGTCTGAAATGGCAAACCACTTCAGATCCAGCTCTTTACCGGAAGGGGAAAGTCATGTGTGAAACAGCAGCCCTATAACGGTTTACTCCATGACGGATCAAAAACGGCTTTAAAACGGGTTAAAAAGGGTAATGTGAAATTCCTCAGAGTTTGAAGTCTTTCAGTAGGAGGCTAACATACATTTTCAGATTAGTACCCATGTATAGCAATTTTTTAGAACTAAAGAGGACAAGGGAGAGCTATTATTATAATAGGAGAAGTGACTTCTAAGTCTAGAGGTAGGGCATGTTCACATATCACTAGCAGTGAAATCCTGTGAACAGGATTGTAGGATGGTCTTTTTCTTCTCTGTGTATAATACCCCTTACTCTCCTTTTAGGTTTTCTTTTGACATCATGGAAATGGGGAATTAAGTGGATCTTGTTTTCCCAGTGCTGTGAAGAATAACAGGTTGCATCTAATGTGTCCTGACTGATGTGAACTAGAAACACATCACAGAAGCAGGGTATATCTTAATGAAAACTACCACTTGCTTCTTGTAAGGTGCCAGTGGGGAATGTTCCTAGGAGTCACTCCTAGTGTATCATTCACTGATCTTCCTTAATATGAGATCCACACAATAAAAAATCCAGAATTTTTAGGGATTTATTTTTCTGTGTTTAGTGCGAAGAAAATGCATGACGTGAGAATACACCCTTTGTTATATAAGCAAACTTTTGTGCTGCATAGAGCATACATTTTTAAAATGAAATATTCTGAAAGCTTTCATACGAATGCATAAACACAACAAAACAATGGGAAGACAAAACATGGGCAGATTTTTACTACTGTGATAAGTTCCTTCATATGATTTTAACAATCCAGGTAGTAGTAATTGAGGATATTAGAAAAGTGTAGGTATTATGGGGAGGGGGGGGGACAGATTGTACTGGACTGCCAGAATGAATGAATGCACTGCATGTACTCTGGAAAGTACACCACTACATTAACATCTGGGAGGCAGAAAACAAAATGCTGTGCTGTACACTTAATAGCAACCTTGTCAGAAGTGGAGAAGGTGGCGCCGACCCTCCAGGAACTAGGTGATGTACAGAACATAATGGTCTGATACTAGAACGCTCACTCGACCTTGGGCGAGTGTGATGTTTTCCCCTAATGACTGGCTGATCATTGATTCTCGGGGTAGGAAGTCCCCTTCTAGAAACACATGGCAGTAGAACCCTAAAACATTAGGGCCAAAAACAAAAAAATTGGTTCAGTCAATAACTGTATAAAAACTCGTTGCCCATACATATACACTCACAGACACACACCATTGTCTTTGATCTATATAACTGTATCCAAAGGTAATAATTTTCATATTCAGCAATATTATCTTCATAATCCTATTAGTAAATGATCTCACAGAAGCTTCATCACAGACTATATAGAAATATGCTTATACTTACAAAGTTAATACAATGACAAGACAGAACTGCAAGTAGCTAAGTTTGGTGTAGTGGTTAAGTGTGCAGACTCTAATCTGGGAGAACCAGGTTTGATTCCCCACTCCTCCACTTGCACCTGCTGATGTGATCTTGGGTCAGTCACAAGCTCTGGCATAGCTGTCCTTGAAAAAGAGCCGTTTGTGTCAGAGTTCTCTCAGCCCCACCCACCTCACAGGGTGTCTGTTGTGGGGAGGGGAAGGGAAAGGAGTCTGTAAGCCTCTCTGAGACTCCAAGTGAAGGGCAGGGTATAAATCCAATCTCTTCTTCTTCTTCTTCTTCTAATTACAGATTTCCATACAGTTAAAATATGTATTACACCCTTTGTACATCTCAAAAATCATATTGTTAAGGTATTGTCAGAAGAAGAAAAATACTCCAGTTCAGTAGCAGAAGACATACTTTTGCAAAACACTGAAAACTCTCTTGGTTTGCTTCCCATGGCTCTGGACTTAACATTAGTGAGATCAAACTTTGGGTCCCTCCTCTTACTCTTACTTTTGACAGCTTATAAACGGGTCCCTCCAGCTGTCCATTTAGTCAAATCAGTTTGATCTGCAGGCAGTTATCATGTGATGTTATAGCCTCATGTCATGAAAAGCTTCAACTGACCATTTCCATGAGACCAGGGCCGGTGCAAGGTCTTTTTGCCCACTAGGCGAGGCTACCTTCTAGGCCCCCCCCCCGGTGCGCCCACCAATTTTCAAACATAAATTCATTTTAGGAAGAATGAAAAGCACAAAATTTGAAATTGCTAATTTCTTTCTTTTTTTAATTGTGAGAACAAGTAATACAATCTCTGATTTTCTCTCTCAAACAGAAAAAACACAAATGTTGAAATTTAAGTCTCTTTAATGTTTCCATTTCAGGCACATCAGAATCTCATTTTGCGTGCCTTTTCTTTAGCAAATTTTGTCACCAATTCCTTCAGGTCAAGCGCTGATGCTTCAGCATGTTCAGTTGAAATAGTTGCCAAACCAAGTAGTCTCTTTTGCAGCATTGTCGAGTGTATGTGTGTTTTTATAAGTCTGGGTTTTG